CATGCTCTAGATAGAATGACCCCATTGTAATCTAGCTCTCAGTGATCTGTGATCTGTGAGTTGTGTAAACGCAGGCAAAGCACTTCCCTGCCCTGTTTTTCAGTTTTCCCATTTATGAATGGAAACGCCAGTAATACACCATTCTATGGTTCTTGAAGATCAAATGAGTTAATTTATGGTTAGCCTTTAGAATCCTGTTTGCCACATAAAGAGCACACCATAAATACACATTCTTAGTATCATCATAAGCAAGGTGTCTACTAGGTCACCTTGATAGTTTCCACTCTTTGGAGTGTGGCTGTAGAACTTCTGCCAGTTGGACACCAGACATCTTATGGTAACTGCCACCAGAAACATTCATCTCATTATGATTCTGCCTCCTTTCCTTTCCGTAGCTCATCCTTTTGTGCTGGCTGATGTAGTGTTCTTCTCTTTGTTTTATCTATATTTAACCTTGCACTGATTGCAGGACAGCCACAAAAATGTTTATGTCCCCGGTAGAACTTGGAATAAAGTGATTCTCATAGTAAAGGGCTATGTCTCCAGAGTGAGCTTATTAAACCTATAATAATAGCTCCTTAAGTTCACATCAGCACAGTGAATTAGGCTAACACACGCAGATCACACACATGGTGTCTACTATATTTAACATATATTTCATATAATGAAAGACACTTTTAGAGGCATGTATGGGTCTTACAAACCTACAATGCTCATTTCTTATAAAATCTTTTTTTTAAAGATTTATTTATTTATGCATACAAGAGCTGGGGTACAGGCCAGAGATGTGAGGGGTGAAAGGATTCATCAGAGACAGAGTGGGGAACAGAACAGGCAGACTGACTGAAATACACTGCTGAGAGGAGTAGTGGGTGAGTCAGGAGAGGTCTGCTGTGCCATGTGGGTTGCTCCCTGGTCAGCCGGGATTGAACTCGGGTTGTGGAGACTATGGATTGCCTCATAGTGTGGTGCTTAACCCCTTGCGCCACCAGGAAGGCCCTCATATATACTCCTTTAAAATCATTCACCTTTTACAGAAGATGATCTGGAGAGTTACCTTGAGCTTCAACTGGGGCATTTCCCAAGTCTGCTCATTCTTTAGGCCAGTATGGCTCCTTACAGTGTATGACTGAACTATGGAGATCCCAGACTCCGGCTACTTTACATACATATTTGTGGAGCTTCCATGGGGATGACAGCACTGGGTTGGGTGTGGATCAGGCCCTTGCCGGCTACTTCTATGTAATAAAAATGCAGAGGAGTGTGAGCCAGACTCTCAACCTATCAAGGAAATAGAAGTTTTCAGTTTTGTAAGTGAATTGGGGGCTTTGGGTACAGAGGAGAAAAAGTACCTATGTTGAAATCCTCAGAGTCACAGCAGTCAGAGGGTAACTGCTGAAGAAAGAGACCTATACTTCCTTAAGCAAAAGGTTGTTCCTCACGGAGACATGAATCCATGCCATCAGATTGACAAGCAAGCCAAATGGCTTAGGTTCTGTCTGAAAAGAACCTTGAGCCACCTCCTGCTTTTTAAAGTAGTCATGCTTATTTCCTACAGGTCAACCTATTTTTTAAAGAGGTAGTGAATTCCTAGTTGAAAAGGTAGAAGAGGGAAGCTTGCTTTATCTGAGCTTCCTTTCCTCTGTCACTGATCTTACAGGAATGCCTCTTGGTAGCTTTTAGCCCTTTGGTTCATACTAGGGTTTGATCATAGTTGATATCCTGCTTGCTAGCTGCTGCTGATCCTAAATTCTTATGGCTTGCAAATAATGGTTATGGAAAAAGAGGCAGAGTTAGACACAGACACATCTGCCCTAGGCTCTTGGAACAAGCTAAGGCAACTCCCAATCCATGCAGTTTTTCTCTTATTTGTTGTATTCTTCTTCCATATTTTGAAAACATCCTGACACCAAGGGTTCTGTATCTTCCAAATAGTACAAACCAAAATTGGTTGTTAGCACCTCTCCTATGTTCCAGGTCATTTTATAACAGCAGTGACTTTAAGCCTTACGTGATCAGCTATTCATTTTGATGTTGCTTTTGTTTAAGCAACTTTTGAAAAAGAAAAGTAGCATTTTTTTTATTGAGGTAACATTGATTTACAACATTGTCTATAATTTAGAGGTACAGTATCAGACCCCTTCAGGTGTATGTCATCACCCCCTCCCAACACCAAGGCACCCATAGTCCTTTACCCTAGAATATTGGGCCCTCTCCCCACTTTCTTGTCTACCCCCAACACACAGACACACACACACACACACAAACACACACACTATCCTTCTGGTGGCCTCAATTTTACAGTCATATTTCTAGGGTTTGTGTCTGGCTTGGTTTTTGTCTGACCCTCTGCTTTCTTTCTCTCTATCCCACATATGAATTAAGTCATAGTAGCACCTGGGATTTTGTGGTCTTATTTCACAACAGAATATAAATGACTCCCTAGAGTGGTATAAAAGGGCCAGAGAGAGGGAAGAAAATAGAAAGAGGTAAAAGGAGAATTCTTTCCAGATGTTAGTTTGGACTGGGAATGCTAAGTTTTTCCTGTGGCCTTTGGAGAGGCACTGCTGCCCACTTGGTTAATGCCAAACACAGCCCTTGGCATTTTCTAGGATAATCACTCATCCTTCCTCAGCAACTTCAGGAGGTAATATGGAAAGAAGTTGGCCACATCAACAAGGGGAGCCTCGTTGCTTACAAAATATTTGCATCTTCCCACACCTGTTCTCTCCGTTCTGGACTCCTTCCTCCCTACTCCTATCCTTTCTGCACCCCCCCTGTCAGTGCTGAGCACTATTTCCAAGGTGAGAGCACAGTTAGAGGAACTTCTTAGGAAGTGACCAGCAGGCCCTGCCATACCACTTAGCCCTGTCTACATCCCTAACATTTCTGCCTTCACCTTCCACTATCCCTTTGGTTCCTTAAACCAGTATCTTTCAGAGCAGTCCATAGTGGTCAAAGCATCCCCTTGGGCACTTTGCATTTTCCAGGTTTGGAAGGGTCAGTAGTGTGGGGGAAGGTGGGGGAATGCTCACAGAGAAGCATGTCTTTGTATTTATTTACTTGTCAGGGAACAAATATGGTACCCTTTGGGTGCATGCTAATGGGTCTGTCTCTCTTTCCCCTACACAGGGCCTGGAGCAGTCATTGATGGTGTAAACTCGGCCTCTAGAGCGCTGGCTTGTCTCTGGCTATCAGGGACCCTCTTTGCCCACTTCTTCATCAAGTTTTGATAAGAAACCATAGGTCCTCTGAACAACGCCTGCTTCTCCATATCACAGACTTTAATCTACACTGCAGAGGGCAAACCACTTTGGCTTCTTTTTGTTTGTTTCCGTTCTTAATTTTTTTTGATTTTGAGGGTTTTTTGTTGACTTTATTTTCCAGTTTGAACGAGTGGGGTGGGGGAGGGGTGGGCAGGGTTCTACCACGTGTAGGGTGATCATTCATTGGTGTGTCCAAAAATGGAACCTGTTCCTGCTACCTTGGCCCTTCTCTTTCCTCTGCTTCTCTCTGCATCACCATCACCACCAAGATCCCCATCCCCACCCTTCACACCAACCGTAACCATAAACTCCATTTGGGCAAAAAAAAATACAAAACAAAAACAAAAACAACAAAAAAAATGTGCCTCATGATGAACACCCTGAAGACACGACTTGACATATAATGTAGTGCACAGCAAGAGTTTTATCCAAGTGTCCTATTACCTGTGTCTCTTAAACTTTGGACCATTTTTCTGATTATAATGTACATATCCCTCCCTCCATGTTTATTATCATCAAATTCTATTGGGGTTCACATCCTTTCTTTCTGTGAAGTTATCTCAATATATCCATGCCATCTTATTATTGCCTAGCCTCTCTGCCTTGTTCACCTAAACCACCAGCTACAGGGATTAGAAGTTGGGGCCACACACACTTCCCAAAACTAAAAGCTTAGAAATCAAGCAACCAAACAAAAAAAAAAAATAATAAAGATGGAGATGTTTTGAGGATTGTACTTCTCTTTAAAAAATGCTGTCCAACTCATAAAAAATGACCCATAGATGGCTGATGATTTAGGTTTTATCAGGCTATCAGTCAAAGTGTTCAAATGGTTATCCATCTCTGCAATTGTCTGATTTATCTCTCCAACCAATTATCTGCCCACCCATCTTCCCCTCTAGCAATCTCTTTACTCTGTTTATCAATCTATCAATGTAATTATCTAATGCTTCTCTCTCCTTCTCCCCCTACTACTTACTATCAATGCATCACCATATTAATCTCTAATCATATTGTGTCTATTCCACTGTATTCATTTCTTTAGCAGACATTGGCATCTACAAAATTGCCTATCAACTTCTCATGTGAAGGCTAATGATCTCACAAGCTAACAACCTAGAAAAGCAATATGCCATGGACTCTGGAATATCGTATTCCATCCACCCAAAGTAGATGCTGTTGACAGATGGACCAAAGTAGCAATCTAATGATCAGTCACTCGCTATTCCCAGAAGGGACTCTGTTTCCTCAACCATCTTCTTGGGAAGCAGAAAAACCCTAGAAAAGCCTTGGTTAGTGCTGTGTGTGTTTTTTTTTTTTTTTTTTCCCTTTCACACTTGAAGGACTAAGATGTCAACCGTCATGCTTTCCTCAGCCTTTCAAGAAAATGCAGGTCCAGGCATCTCTGGGACTGACTCCATGGCTGGCTTTCTTTAATGGCAAGAACACACACCTGCAATGTGAAGAGAGCGGTCCACTTGTGTGTGTGCGGGGACTTCAGCTATTGTCTCCTCTCTCCCCCAGTTTTGGTTTAATCTGTTTGAAAACCATCCAGTAAAAAGCTGATGGAAGCCAATTACATGGCGGGTGTGTTGACAACTCTGGTATTTGTTTCAGGAAGCTCTTCTGAGCTGAGGGCACTTGAGGTACTGACTTAATTTCCAAGCACTTGATTAACACAACACTGCAAACAGAAGGGGAAAGTATAAGTGACACACAGTTTCCTCCAAACAGGCAGCTCCTCCAGTGGCTTTGAGGAAGAATGTCCTCAGCTCTCCGTGTTCAGAGTAGATCCAGCAGGCGAACAAGAGCTGACCTGACCTTTCTGCATTATCTCCTGGGACAGGATGGGCTCAGACAGCAAGGAGACCTGTGATCCAAAAGAATGGCATTGAAAACTACACAAGGTAGTGCCTCTCTTTACCTGTGCTGCAGGGACTGACCTACTGAGAGGATGAGCAAGAGGCTTCAACATTCTCACAGACCTGCCCTGCCTCGTTCGGAAAACTCTTTCAGGTCCACACCCTAAAAAATAATAAATACAAACTCTGTAGAGTTTATTTCCTCAGTGCTTAATTGATACTCTTCTTCCAATATAAGTGGCCTCTGTTTCCATTCACGATGAGATACACAGTGGGGGTTCATATATACAAATATACATGAATACATGTATACATATACATACATCTATGTGTATATATGTACATACACTCACAGATGTAGGCTTTTTGGCATACAAAAAACTAGGCATTATCATTAGACTTAGAGCTGGTGAGAGTGAAATGACTATTACATTTTCTGACTATGAACAGATATCTGCATTTCTCATGATCTGCCAGGACATCCATAAAGGATGTCCCCAAAGTAGTATATCCCTTCTGGGCCCCAGGGACAGTCACTAACAGTCTGGGAGTCAGTATCAGGTAGGACACTGTGTTTTAGCTCTGTCACCACACTCAGCACCAGGAGTAGGGTTGCTGACAGACATCGTATGAGAACTGAAGGTGTCATGTGTGAGTTCTACCAATGATACATGTGTTACTCTGCAGTATTAATGAGTGGAGGCTGAGGGAGTGGATGGTCTGGAGAACACAGTGCTTGCCATGCTCTTCACTCCTAGACTTGCTCTTGAGGGGAGTCTTTCCTCCTCTGGCCAGGAAAATCACCAGAAACTTTGGGACACAAGCAAGCCAGGTCTCAGAGTTACTGTGGAACTCGGCTCTGCCCTTGTCTCTGGTGGTTACCAATTCCAGCCACGTTTCAAAGAGAAAAACTCCGACAGTCAATCCGCATCTGTCTGGAATAAGGAAAACCAAGTAAATAAGACCCAAGGAAACTGGGACACTGGGAAAAGTGATGACTCTTCACAACAAAAGTTCCAGTTGCTGTGCTGCTTGGGTCACATGAGTGGGGATGGATGCTCGTGACCATAGCTGCTACTGGACATTTTGAAGCCAATAAACCAGTAACTGCTTACTAAAGACACTATCCACACTTCCATATGCTCTTATCACTTCAACTATGGAGCGGAGATGGATAAGCCCAGCTGGATAGATTTTTTTTTTCAAGGTTCCAAGGGCGGGGTGGGGGTAGGGGAAAAAGAGGAGATATAAAGTCTCCGATCAGCCTACGGCTCTTCAGTGGAAGGAAACCAAATAGGGTTATGGGCAGATGAGGCGAGAGGAATTCAGCAAACCCTTCCCTTCCCAAAATGGAATCAATGTGTATCTCCACCAAAGTGATGCCAATGAAAGTGCTAGTGTTAAGGCTCTGGCCAAGCTTGTTTTTCAGAAGTTTAAAGTCAAGTGCCTGATACAGTCATCTGCAAGTCTGAGCAAGTGCGTTTATTTTTTTCTCACTCTTGTTTTAATGGGGGGGGTGGGAGGGGGAGCCCCGGGGAAGGTGAGGGAAACCTGCAGACATTTTGTGCAGGGAGCACTGTGGTTCCACTGTGGCTGTGCACAAATGAGCAGAAGAAAAGGTAAGGCTTTGTAGCGAAATGAGCGGGGCCTCTCTCCCCGAAAGCCACGCCTCATGCTGGATCACGCATTTCACAGGTTGGGCTGTGACTTCTCTAGAACCTGGGTGGGATGTCTTCCCTGTGACTCTGGCAGCTCCACAACCAGGGCTGAGTGAAAGGTTCTGTTTGGGCATCCATGGAGCCCCAACATGAAGGAGTTAGCACATGCCACCTGTGTTGGAAGAACTCTTGGTGAAAAGTGGAGAGCGCCTTAAAGTGGGCAGTAGCTTGCTGCCAGTGCATCAGGTTTGGCTGTGCATTGAATACTCTGGTTCCGGCCAGTGCTTCCTGTGCCAGTGGGGGTGCTTCTGCTCTGCAGTTGGGCATGTCCATGCAAGGAGCCGGGCGACAGGGGGGGGGGTGGTCTCGTGAAAGAAAAACTGTTTTTATAAAACCTGGAACCACCCTCTGACAATAAACAAATAAATAGAAAGAAAAGTTTAATCCCTTTACAATTAGGGGAAGTAGCATTAACATTTTTCTTTTTGGCAAAACACATTTTTCTCTTTTGCTCCACCGATTTTGCTTTCCTTTTGCCCAAGCCCTGTTCCTGGAAACATTCACCCAGTTGCCTCCCCTCCCACAGTCTGAAGCTTTCCTCTTTTTCTTTTAAGACAAATAAGTTAGAGCAGTTGCAGTACAACTTCACAGGTGTGCAACTAGGAAGGGAACATTTTCAAAAAAGATTCCATATGATGAGAACTCCTAATAGTCACTAAAAGCAAACAAATAAAAATGCCACTCTCATTTCCCTCATTTCTTAAAAGAAGAGAAGTAAATGAAAGGAGGAAGAGATAGATTTGCAATTAAAAGATGTGGCAGAAAAGATAGAGCTGAACCGGTGCAATTTAGCCTTCAGGTGCAGAACACTCGGCATCCAAAGGCATGTGGAGTGGACTTGATTAGACTCAATTGTCTTCATCCTGAAAGTAGTCATCTCAGCCTGATTTCCAGCATTTTGCAAGCGATTCCTTTTTGTTTCTTCCAACGGTGCCCTTTTAGAGGCACACAGTCCTTCTAGTTGTTCCACACCATTGATTGGAGAAAGAAAGATTGTGAACCCTCTACTGTCCTTTCAGGGCCACATTCTACACCGTTGGCAGGTTTATAAGGAGATCAATAATAGCGATGATAAGTAATAATAGCTGCCTTTGTGTTAGTTAAAGGGAGCATTTTTAATCATTCAACAAATTTTGTGACATGTAAAGTGCAGTTGTGAGGAATGTGTGGGTGTACGAAAATGTATCTGTCAAGTTCAGAGTCCTCTAGATTAAAAAAAAAATATGACTTATCAATGGTGCCGTTATAGCTGTGTCAGACAATGGGTGTGCCCATTCTCACAATTATCCTTAAAACAAATCTATGTTCAAATGCTTTAAAAATTTATCACACGATGCAAGAGTATAACTTTGTCAGCCTTCTAGAGTTCTTTTTCTTTTATTTTCTTTCTTATTTTTTTCCTTCAAAAATCAATGAAACTTGATTTCTGTCAATAATTGTATTAAGGGTGAATATACTACCTGAATTTTGTGCATGTTACATTGTAGTTGTAACCTTTTCTAATTCAGGATGAATACGAGATGGTTGTGATTGTGCAGTGTACCAATAAAGTTTGAAGAAATTTGTAACTTTTGGGGGGTTGTTTATTAGGACATCTCTCATGAGTATCCAGGAATGGAGAAAAGTGAAACAGGCTTTACTTTTTTCTGTGTGCTTTAGGCTTTGGGGAGTACATGCAACCAGAAAATGACATAATATCTCTATTCTCTCTCTCTCTCTCTCTCTCTCTCTCTCTCTCTCTCTCTCAATCTCTCTCTCTCTCTCTCACACACACACACACACACACATACACATGCAGATATATTAGAAGTCAGTCTAAGCACTTCCCACGTTACACCTATATATCAAATATCTGTGCCATTTACAAATAATATATAATATAATTGCAACCATAAAGTCTAAATAATTTATTGACCCAGCCTAAAATGAAATCAGAAGTTTCAGAAAAAATAGTCATCACATACTACTCCTTCTGGGTACTCCCTAACATTTACTATGACTTGATTCCACTGAATTAAGCACCACTTTGACAAGGTAAGGATGAGAAAATACAGAGACCATCTTGTACCTTGTTCCCTAAACATGTCTGCCATCACATTCATTATTTCCATAGTATGCATCTGAGCCACCCATGAGAAGGAGAACTGGAAGGCAAGCTTCATTCCTCTACCTATTCTGCAATATTTTTCAATAAAACTCCAATTCCTCTACCTTCATCGCACAGTCATCTGACTTCTCAAAGAATGTCTAGCAATCTCTTCCCTACAATTCATCTCCTCTCTGACTATTGTATGTTAGCTAATTCTCCAAATTCTACTATGAACTAGGTATGTGACCTTGGAACAGGCACTTGACCTTCCTAATTATGTGACCTTGGAATGACACTTGACCTTTCCTAGTTTTGTGTCCTTATCTGTGAACATTGTGTGCCATTGTGAACATTGTGTACCACAACGTACACCATTGTGAACACAGTGATAACACCCAGTGTGTTCTAGATCAAAATTACCCAGACCATTTTCATTTCTCTTTCAATCATGGGATTTTTAAAGACTATCCCTAATATGCTAAAGACTCATGACTGATTATGGTTTGGGAATTCAGCAGAAAGTGGGTTAAAAGTCTTTGCTGGTCAAAACTCTGAGCTAGAGTGATGAGGCTTGATGATAGTTGGCTTCTGAGGCAGACAAAGGTTAATCTCTGGCCCTTTATGGCTCAATCTACCCCATAGAGAGTGAGATACAGAAAACTTGGTAGCTGAGATCCTGTTCTTTGTAAGTTAAGATACAAGGAAATGGCGGATCCTGATGATGGACTTTCATTTTCCTAAGGCAGTGCTCATTATAAAATCATGACTTGCCGAGGAAATGGATATCCAGTGCCTGTAAACTTAATAACTTTAGAACTCCCTTTTCTCCTATCCTTTTTCTCCTTCATTTAATTCATCCTTTCCCCAGCCACACCTGGCCCTCTCCTGTTCCTGTTCACACCACAACATTTATTTCTCCATCCATCTGCTTCCCGAATGGCTTAGACATTTATCGGTCCTTCGCTCCATCTGGCCACTCAAATCCATCAATCATCAATGTCCCAATTTATTCCTCCATCAGCTAAGCACTCACCTAATCATTCACATATTATTTCCCCATTTATCTAACCCTTATTCCAGCTATGCACTCAAGTGCCTCCCTAATATGACTGTTCCCTATCTATTTATTTAAGCCATCTATCCATTCTTCACCTGTCAATCCATCCACCACGCTTCCTCCTACTAGGCATTGGCAGATACACCTATTTACCAACCCACTTCAAGGTAATGAAAATCTTTGCTGTTATCTCTTCATTCTGCAAGGGAAGCTTTATCTAGTTATTCTTAAGCACAGCAGCTAAACAATTGGATGTGTTTTTGTTATCTTTACCCAAAATACACCCTATTAAAAATGTATATAGAGTAGTGCTTTAGGAAATATATTAGGGCCACATGTGTTCCTATCAGTATGTATTATAGCAGGAAAGGATAAAGAATTAGGAATGGAGTGGAAACACCCAGATGAGATATGGATGTTTGACGTTCTAACACTAGGAATGCAGTCAGGTAACGTGCATAGCAAGTGTCCAAAGAAACAGACAGAAGGCATCTCACATGGCCACTACCCATTCTTGTCTGTTTGATTTTTTTGTTGAATGAGTGATTTATTCTGATGAAAATTAGGGAATGGAACTAATCGGCACTGATCCCTGTGATCAGATTAATAAAACCCTGACTGTAAAGGTGCAGATGATGCCATCTTCCTTTAATATAAATATGCTCATCTGGTCACTAGGAAATCTGTTTTCTTACATTTTTCCATTTATTTGTTTATTCATGCATCACATTAACTTCCGTTAAGGAGCTCATATCCAATATGTGGAAATAACTGTATAAAAAGAAAAATTACAGTTTAATATTGCAAGTATTACAAAAGGGATATGAGAAAATGACTGCAGTGGGAGCAAACACTAAGAAATGATTAGGGGGATTCTCCCTCTACCCACATTCCCTAGGGATGAAATGCTATGATGTAAACAGCTCATCCAGGCAGTGGATATGTAGCTACCAAAATAAACGGGATAAATGGCATATGCAGTGTTCAAGTATTTATTGATGGAGTGAATATATATGAATTGTATGAAAAACTATCATGAAAAGAGATAAAACCCTAAGTGGCCAATGAGCCACTCTGCATTTGGTGATAAACTGACACAAGACCTCCTGGAGAGGGACAGTAGCATCCAGAATGTCCAATCTGGTTACAGTATAAAGTTCCATTCACACACAGGATTACTGAGTGTATTATCTTCCACTGGATCTCAGTACTCTGTAAGCCTTTCTGATGAAGGAGAGAAAATGCTGTTTGGAAATGTGGGCATGGCAGAGACTTGAAGGGCGAGAGGCAGAGATTTTGTGTGGACTTGCTGAATAGTTTCCTCTATGTATCTCCAGCGAAA